ATCGCGGTCACACCAAAAAGAGCCTGTACTAAAATTAGTTCATGAGAACCTTTTTACCCCCACGAAAGTCCCTGCTAGAGAGCAGGGACTTTCGTACGGCTCTCTTGTGAGAAAAGAGCTATATTTCTGATTGGCTGGGTGGATTGCAAACCACGCCCCGTAAAACTCCCAAAACGTTTTGTGAAGCCGCCATTTTATTATCCTCGCATTAGCATTATTAGCATTAGCCCAGCGCAGAAACGCAGAGAGACTAACTTATGGCAACACAAAATAAAACATGGGAGCGGTGGAGATGAGGAAGTGTCGGCGTTCTGGCGATTTACTCGGAAGGCTGCTGGGAGTCCCAGCAGCTTCTACTGAAGCCACTCCCCAACTCCGGGGACTTCCGGCCGGGGACTTTGGGCGGCAGTATACGCCGTGAAGTGGTTTGCGGCCTGCCAGTAAACCCAAAGCAGAAGAAGAAGAAGTGACGTCAGCGGCTTCATTTGCCTAATCCACCCCCAGGTTCAAAGAGTTCTCATGAACTAAATTCTCATGAACCTTTGTGGGAAAAGTACTGCGGTGTGAATGCGCCTAATGGTATACTAAAATCCATGTGAAAAAAATTGCTACTCACTGTTCTCAGGTCAAATATATATATGTGATTAAATATGCGATTAATTTCGATTAATTAATTACAAAGCCTCTAATTAATTAGATTAATTTTTTTAATCGAGTCCCGGCCCTAATAAAAACATATTCACTAAAATCTGCCATTTAGCACAAAAAATGGTTTACTTGTTGCAATAATGGCTTTTGTCCTGGTATCATTGTTGCTGCGAAAAACAATACCCCTGGTGTCGCTAATGCGTCTCAATAATTCTAGGATTAGAGGATTGTTTGATACTGCTGAACAAAGATATGATAAAATAATATTTCTCTAAACTAGAGAGAAAATACGAACTATTCTCACAGAGGGTGACATGCATGAAGGGCTGGTGCCCCTTACTCAAAATGAGATATTGCCTTACGCACTACATTATAAATCAGTAAAATTACTCAAGAATAAATAAATAAAAACTGATTCTTGAAACTGTTGTAAAAACCCTACTTCTTCATCCAAGCTCTCAATCAGTGTTATGTTATTTAATCTGCAGCTCATTGCCTTAAAACAGATACTTCAGACCGATTATAAAATGGTGTTTATGAGAAAAATGTAATCTGACTCGATAAATCACATAATTGTTTGACTAAAAAACTACACTTCCACTAACAATAAATGAAGTTCCCCTTTAAACACAGCCCCGGTCTTCTGACGGGGTCTATCTATGTACTGGCTGGAAAATGTTGTGCCAGTCTCTGTCGCTCTGTCACTGTTCTCCCGCTAACAGTCACTCTCTAGTTCTGCTGGGTTCTTGTTGACTTCTTCACTGGTTTGAGACAAGCGACCCTATCGGACACCTCCCTTTGTAGCCAGACCTCACCACAGCAGAATCGAGTTTCTGTTTTTAGGTCTCAACAGCTCCACATCAGGTGTATCGCCGCCCCTTGAACTGCAGTCGGTGTAAACAGGAGGATTCGGTATGGATCCTCCGTCTTGGGCGAGTACTAGGTTTCCATCTTCATATTTTTGGGTGGAAACCCCATCGTCTTGACCTCACTAGCTGTGTGGACACAATAGTTTTCTGTGTGGGGGAACAACATCACTCGTAATCTCTATCCTTCTCATAATTACAAAAATAGTCTGCGAAATGTTCTACTATGTTTTAATCTTCTACTAATCTGTGGATGCTTTATGTGTAAATGCAATATGCTACTCACTATCTCTTTAAATAACATTAAACCTCTCCCTCCTGTGGTGACAGATATGGCTCAATGTAGCTGGGTTTCAAAATACCCTTGGGCTGAGGATGCATCATCTGTTAGTCTGGCCCTCTGAGCTTCCTCATTGCTGTGATTGATACCAGGGTGTCAGTTACATTTGGGTCATGTTTGGCACCCCTGTTCGTCTTTGACATCTCTGGGACCCCCTGCCTCCGTTGTCATCATGGAAACCTCCTGGTTGTTGGTTCTGCTTCTGATTTTCTGGCACTATCTGAGATTTACCAGTTTGAGGTGTCTGCCCTGCATTCTCTGGTTCTTCCTGAGCTTGAATTGTTGGAGGTGTCTGCCCTGCCTTCTCTGGAAGTTTCCCCTCCCTTCTCCTTGTCTTGTTCCTACAAGCTACGGTGTCTTTTGTTTTTTCTGCTATGTCTTCCCTCACTGGCAGGTCTGCTACTCGGACCACATTTATGCTGTGTGCCAATAGGCTGGCATATTCCAGATGGAGTATCAGACTTGTAACTCTTATAAATCTTTCTTCATCTTCCCTCCATATAGTTATTTTAATTGGAAAGGTTAAAGCATCTGATCAGATTATTACCCTTTCCTTGATATCTGCGTCTAGTCCCAGTTTAGTTTGTTTTGGTGACATGCTCTCTTCCTATTCGAATGAATATTATTAAATTATCAAAGATTAAGCACCAATACTCTGACTAGCACCGTCGTTCCTGATAAGTAATATCCTATGTCATCCGAACCTAACTTTAAATCTGGGCTTTTTTAAGTTTTTTTTTCAATTTATAGATTTTTTTTTTTTTTTTTTTAATGATTTTTTTTTTTTTTAAATAATAAAGTTAATTAAAAGATAAGAATTATGCACATTTTAAAATCTGAAATGCTAAAATAAAAATTGTACAGTGTATGGTTTTGACTTTAAAATATGAAAATTAGAAATCTGGTGAAAATCTAAATCTACTGTGTACAGTGCATACCAAAGTGTATGAAATTATGTAAATGTCCTAACTTGTGTTAGCTTCAATACATTTGTTTGCTTATTTGAAAAAGTATTGTTTAAAGTTTCCTATCTTATAATTAGAAACCACTTGCAATTCTATCCTGGCGATCAAGCATGTGTTTATTTATAACATTATGGAACAATTATGGAAGCCCATTTCCGCCACTTGAAAAAAATAAAATCCCCATGAAAAGTCATAATTATGAGATAAAAAGGTCGAAATTATGAGATAAAAAGTCATTATGAGATAAAAAGTCATAATTATGAGATAAAAAGAGACACTTTGTCACAACAGACAAACTAGCAGCTCTTTGGCTCGAATTATCCTATTTATCTTGATACGGAAATGGATTGTGAGTACATTGAGGACTACTTTAAACGTGGATTTACAACAGATGAAATACTTAATTTGCTTGCTGATTCACATGGAGTTGTACTAAGCAAACGCACCCTTGAAAGGATTTTAAGCAAGAAGCAGCTCTGGCGTCGAAAGAATAAAACCGATGTGGCTGAGGTGGCAACCTTCATTGAACAGCAACTGGAAACATCTGGTCAGTGTCATGGTTACAGATGGATGCACCAAAAATGTTGGTTACATGGAATTGTGACTGACAGAGAAACAGTGCGAATACTGCTACAGTTATTGGATGGTGAAGGTGTTGATCTGAGGTCAAGAAACAGACTGCGAAGGCGCATCTACCACAGCTGTGGTCCAAACTATGTATGGCACATTGATGGTTACGACAAGCTTAAGCCATTTGGAATTGCAATCAGTGGATGCATTGACGGGTTTTCCAGAAAGATGATATGGCTTGAAGCTTACAAAACAAACAAAGACCCGAAGATCATCGCTGGCTACTTTATTGATGCTGTTATCAATGCTGGTGGGTGCCCTGCCAGACTCAGACTTGATTTAGGAACAGAAAATGGCCATATGGCTGAAATGCAGCAGTTTTTGCATTTTTCTGAGAACCAAGCTGAAACAGACAATGTAACCTTTGGTCCAAGCACTGGAAACCAACGTATTGAACGATGGTGGCTGACCTTGCGAAGTGAGTGTGTCCAGTTTTGGATGGACCTTTTTGACAAACTGAGTGTAGATGGCTACTTCTCAGACAACTTCTTGGACAAGTCCTTGATCCAGTTCTGCTTTCTACAAATAATACAGGTACTTGTCACATTATGAAATAAATAAATGTTGAATGTGGTGAATATTTTTAAAGAGCCACAAATGACCATGTGTAAAATAGAAATTGCCTGTTTTCCGTGGAGAGAGTGAATAATAAGTTATTGTTTCTGGCTAACAAAAATATGTGGGTATTCAGAGTAGCTGTGTCAAATAAGTAGGGTTTATTTTCGGGTTTATCCACCACATTTTTATAGCTGTTAAGATATAACATTAGTTGCACTGCTGCAATTTACATTTGACAGTTATTAATATGATTGTGCCAACCTACCATAGTACAACTAGAAGACACATCTCACAAATATAACAAACCATGGGTCAGGAGTATACTTGACTAAGGCAGTAATCACCACTGCCCAGTATTTTTATACATTCTATTTGACTGAATATTATTTGCCTCCTAGGAAGAACTTAATGAGGTTGTATTGACTTGGAACAATCACAGAGTCCGTCAAGTCCATAACTCACGATCACCCCATGGACGTCCCTCCATATTGCATGCAGTCCCTCATCTGTATGGAGGCAGATTGTTTGCACCATGTGGACCTGGAGAAAGTTCAAGTCTGCCTTGATGAGTGTGTGTTCAAGGACTTCCCATGTGATGAAGATGTGTTCCATATCTGTGTGGATCTAATGTCAGAGTATAATCTGAAATTAACAAATGATGTGTTTGAAACTGTTAACCTGTATATCACACTCAGACAACTGATGAACAATGAACTGGATCATTAACTTTCCTGGGGCAGTGTCACAATTTATATTTCAGAAATGTGTATTTGTTTCCTGTTTCATTCCAGAACAAATTGAAATATATATACTGATTGCAATTGTCAGAATTATGATATACTTTAACCTGTGATGAATGAAAATATAATTGTAGCTGTTTGAGACACGTCAAATATGTACCAAATATTCTCAGTACATATATTTGTATGTACACACAAACAAAGTCATGTGTTGCCCTTAGATTGACTATGTGTAAAAACAATTTTACACACATTTAATAATTATTTATTCAATTATTTAAACAGATAGCATACAAAATTGCTGTTTTCATTCATGCTCCATTTATCTGAATCCAACCAATCAGCTGGCAGACTTCAATAAACCTCTGAAATCAAAATTGCTGTTTTCATTTTGACTGCATTTTAATTTAACTTGCTACAGTATCAGCAGCCTTTAATCGTAATCCATCGATACGTTTATGAGTGGTTTAAATGCCAAACTGTCTTTTGGTAAATAACAAGAACAGCATCTGAATAGAATAGTGCTTAACAAAGGAATATATACATTGTTGTCTGAAATAACTGATTTAGACTCAGGTTATTAGTGAAGTCTAGCAATATAAACCATCAATCTTAAACTACTTCCTTAACTGAGGTATTCACAGAAAGTTATCTGCATTGAAACGTAAACATGTTCTTAAACTGAAAACAATGTTCAACAAAAGTGGCTAAAAGCAGTAAAGAAATATTGACAAGATGTTGATGCGGTGACACTCAGGAAGGTTAAACAAGCTGGATTACTTCCTTCACAATAATCTGGATAACCTACAAATCCTAAACGTGAACCTCTGATTGCAGTCTAGTTGCTGTAAGCTGAAATCTTTGTATCTTAGACAATATCCATTACCCACACGTTGCTATCTAAGACTTTGTTCATTTCATTTCGAAAATCTGGGTAGTGGTCGTAACTGACTGGCAACTCCAAGTAACAGCCACATGTATGAGCAACAGGTCTTCTTTGAAATCCCTGAAGTTGTGTGAAGCTGACAGTGATGCTCTTTCCTGTGAACAAATCTGATCCTGTGCAAAATCTGAGGAAAAGGGAGAGGTGCTGGGTGTCTGACTCTCTAAGATATGCACTAACATACTTGACCATTTGTTTCTCCTGGGCATTCTGTGTACTGGGGTAAGTCATTGATCTCATGATCTTTCTTGATGTTGGTTGTAGCTCTTCATAGACTGCTGCAATCCCTTTCAGCTCTGATCTAAGAGGTGCAAGTGTGTTGTTCCACTGTTCAATCACAAAAGCAGGCTCTTGAATCAGTTTTTGGTGAGCAATCTCCTTCAAGATTTGCTCAAAGTTATCTGCTGTTGGAAGCCGCCGGCAGTTGTGGATATCCATGATTTCCAACAATTCTTCTTGGTCCACACCTTCAAAATCTGAACGACAAGATTCAAAGATCACCCGCTCAGACTCTGACACATACTTGAGAAAGCTGTCCACAAGATCACTCACAACAAAGCCCAAAACAGCTTGCTCCAGAAGTACAGGTGAAAGTTTAACAGGAAGGTACTTCTCTTTTTGCCAGCCAAATGTGATTATTCGGCCTACACTTTCCCATTCTTGTTTACCAAAATCATGACGCAGGTATGGCACTTTGAAGCCATTTCCCATAGTGCACTGCTCATAAAAGTCATTCCAAAATTCGGACAGTATATCCCTCATAACACCTCCATCATCCACAGCATTTTCAAGCTTTCCATCGGGAAGAATAACTTGGAAGTGAAAGTCATTCTCCATGATATTTTCCTCAGAAAACACTAGAATAAGTTCTCTGAGAATCTGTCCACGATGAAGAACAATAATTTTCTTCACTCTTTCTCTCTGATTGGCTTGTTCCTGAAACATATCCATTGAAGGAGGCATGGATGATTCAATAGACAGTTCCGTAGAGAGAGGCAATGTATCATCAAGACTGGAGTACTCCATCAGAGAGATGCTGTCTGTGCGGAAAGTTACAATGCCACTATCATCTAAAGCACCAACATGAAACAGTGTTTCATGTTCTTGCAAACTGGATGCATCAGTTGGGTTGACTGTGGTGTAAAGAAGGGAAACACTATCACTGTTTTCATTTGCAAAAACTGTGCTGCTTCCAACAAAAATGACATCTGAAGTCCTTATCTCCACCGGATCTCTTACAGATGTGTCTGTAGAGAGGTGATAGATATCAGGTCTGGCATGTGTGTTTTCACCTTCTTGAGCAGTTGCATCACTATTGTTTTCCACCAGATTGATGTCACTGGCAATGTCTCTCTTCTTGGTTGTTAAATAGAAACGTAAGAGAGGTAATTTTGTCTTTTCATACAGTTCCTTGACTGTGATACTATCCTCTAATGAATGACGCTGAAAGTCCGTTAAATCAATGTCAAAATCAGTAAGGCTCCCCTCTGCATTTTTTCCATCTGGAAAAAACAACTGCACAGCCTTTTCAATTAGGTTCTATTTTGTACTGTCCTTCATGACACTCTCTTTTCTGGTCCCCCCACCCTTTTTGGTGCGTACCTGCACAAATTCCCCTTCTCTGAAATGCACCCATCCAATTTCAATCTTTCTTTGATTCTTCTGAGCATTCTTTGGAGCGGTTTGATGGTCTGTCTCAGACACATGATCACCTTTGTTTCTTGAGAGCTTTCCTCTAAGTCGCTCAAAGAGCTTTGACTTGCGACTCGTGGGTTCTTTTTCCTTCCGTCTACAGTATCCAAAAACAGCCAGTCGATCACCATAGGATGGCAGATACTCTCTCAGCTGGTCATCTGTCATGAGAGTTATGACACTGGAATCCATCTAAAATGAAGAAATATATCAAGAATTCTTAGGTCAAGTGAATTAAATTACAACAATGAAAAACCTGCATACACAGCACCAGGTATTATTTTCAAAGCTCTTCCAAACTTTGGGTTTTTTAATGTTTATTTGTGAATTGTCCAAATTAAGCATTTCCTGTATCAAATCAAGTGTCATTTATAGAGCAAATTTAAAAACGATTTTTGGTCGAGCCAAAGTACTGTACATGTAATAAAGACACTTTACTACAATAACAAGAAATGTTCAGAAATATAAAAACAAAATATATATAAACTACCTTCTCCTGTTCCATTCGCTGTATGTCTTCCTCAGGTACATGTCGTGACCTTAAATAGTCAGATAGCTCGTCCATCTTGTGACAGTTGAAAAAACCTCTCCACCTCTGTTGAATGAAATGAAAGCTTAAATGTAACCTTAAATACATTTGATTTTTAAAGTTGATTTTTACAAAATCGTTTTTGTTTGTCGTTTTCGTATTCAAGCATCTTCTCATTAAAGGTAGGTTGTGTAAGTTTGAGAAACCTGCTCGAGATCGCTAGAATTTGAAAATACACAACCGGAGAAAATCTGCCACTTCCTTATAGATCCCCTCCTCCAACACACACGAACGCGCACATGACCAATGAGGACACGAGATAAGTTTGTGCACAGATGGAAGGCTGACAGGCAGGTCGGCCATCCAGTTATTTTAGCCGGGCCGGCTAAAATGATTGGTCGTGCTTTTTACAGCGCCACGGCTTCCACAGATACATTTTTTTAATGGATATCTGGGAGACCACAGAGTAATCCCCTGTTTCCTCGACTACGGTCTGGGAGCCGACAGGAAAGTTCAACACATGCATAATGAATGCTATCCATGCTATCTGACTGTACCACTTCGGTTTGGTGATGTTACTGAATAATCGCTATGGCATTAGCATTTCCCCCAGAATAGCAAACTGAAAAGCGATAAAGAACGACAGTGCAATGTACAATTAACGCATGACTTTTTAACCACTGCGTTACATGTACTGTAGGCTACTATAATTAGTGGTGTATGTACCGTAGCTGAGATAACATTTACGGGTTAGTTAGGCTAGCAGCAGCAGTATGCCTACAGTATTGTCATTAGTGGCGTGAACGTTACCACAAAACTATAGGCATAGGCCTATATATTATAGTTCATAACAGGTAATGTCAAAGCTATGAACTGCATTGTTGTAGTTTAGCTGCAATATAGGCTATATAACATCTAATATTTACAAAAGTCACCTTATTTAGGACTAGATGCCGTTTGCATGGTGGAGAGCAGCAAGGTGATGAAGGGACCTTTGAAGACAGCGCCACTGCAGCGCATGCGCATTTATCTCATAATTATGACTTTTTATCTAATTATTTCGACTTTCTTATCTCATAATTATGACTTTTTATCTCATTATGACTTTTTATCTCATAATTTCGACTTTTTTATCTCATAATTATGACTTTTTATCTCATTATGACTTTTTATCTCATAATTTCGACTTTTTTTATCTCATGACTTTTTATCTCATAATTTCGACTTTTTTTATCTCATTATGACTTTTCATGGAGATTTTATTTTTTTCAAGTGGCGGAAATGGGCTTCCATACTCTTCCTATTCGAATGAATATTATTAAATTATCAAAGATTAAGCACCAATACTCTGACTAGCACCGTCGTTCCTGATAAGTAATATCCTATGTCATCCGAACCTAACTTTAAATCTGGGCTTTTTTAAGTTTTTTTTTCAATTTATAGATTTTTTTTTTTTTTTTTAATGATTTTTTTTTTTTTAAATAATAAAGTTAATTAAAAGATAACAATTATGCACATTTTAAAATCTGAAATGCTCAAATAAAAATTGTACAGTGTATGGTTTTGACTTTAAAATATGAAAATTAGAAATCTGGTGAAAATCTAAATCTACTGTGTACAGTGCATACCAAAGTGTATGAAATTATGTAAATGTCCTAACTTGTGTTAGCTTCAATACATTTGTTTGCTTATTTGAAAAAGTATTGTTTAAAGTTTCCTATCTTATAATTAGAAACCACTTGCAATTATATCCTGGCGATCAAGCATGTGTTTATTTATAACATTACAAATTAAACTTCTATTGAGTGTTACCTCTATGTAATAATTCTGTACTTCCAGCAGATGCGCTATTGTAATTTCCAGCTTAATCCACTAGGGATTACTGTTGCAAAACTAACCTCTATTTAACAAGAAAAGCTTATTTTTCTTCTTAAAAATGGAAAGAGAATTACACTAGGTAAGAACACTACTCTATGGTAAAAGAACACAGCACATAAACGCCAAAACACATCTGCAAACTGGAATATTTAAAAAAAAACTTCAATTTACACTTGCAAGCAGAAAATAAACTTCTAAAATCAGATCCCTACAAATACCAAACTTCCCACAGTAAAATAACCTGTCTATTTTATAGTTCCAACTCTGCAAAGAAATATGATTTGTCCTTCTCAAGATGGAGTGCCTAGCCTCATGTGAGTAGGACTGAGTACTTTCAAATTAGCATTTCACGAAATGGCGACTGCCATTGCTCATTGTAAACACGGGGACAAGATTGATTGATTGATTGATTGAAAAGTTTATTAACAGCTTGTATATTGGGTACAGTACAGTACAGCTCAAAACATACAATTGTTAAGGGGATGCAGACCAGAGAAAGACTTTCGTCTTGTTTACATCAGGGTCCTCCAATTCATCATGTCATTTAAGACATATAAGACATACAGATGGCTTATTTACAATTTACATACAGGTGGATTTTTTACATACAGATTGCTTATTTACAATTTTCATTTTAGATTTCGTTCTAATACATCCTAACCGGACATTTAAGACATACCAAGTCTACAGATATACAGTTAGTAACAGAGTCTAAAATGCGAGTATATACATAGATGGGGGGGGGGGGGAGGGGGGGGGGAAGCTGTCCATTGAACAACAGGTTGAGATTTGTACCATTACCGTACTTGGCGACATCCAGTTTGTCTGTGATGAGCCTGTTATCGGTCTTTATGTTTAAGTTAGAAAATCTCGTTTTGAGTTTTTTACTGCAGCCAAGCTGGTTATTGAGTAATTTCCAAAGTTCACAGGGTTTATTTTTGTTTTCCTCAGTTTTGACATTGATGAAATTCTTTTTGGCAGTTTTGATCATGGAGCTTACGTCATTTCTTAGTCTGTTTCTTTCAATATTGAGTTCAGTCACGTGGGCCTGGAGTTCACTGCTCGTGCTTTTGGAAAGCATTGACTGACTTTTATGAAACTCAGAGCATTTTTTGTCTCTGGTTTTCATGGCGGTCAGTATGCCGGAGTGCATCCACGGCTCAGCGCGATTTTTTACCCTGGTTGTTCTTAGGGGGGCCAAATCATTGAGTATTACAGAGAATTTGTTTTTGAAACCAAGCCATGTTTCTTCAACTTGTGTACCACTGAGCTCATCTGACCAGTCCAGGCTCTCCAGTTCTAGGTTAAAGGCCTCGCTAGAGTAGTTTTTGAGGTCTCTAGATATGACTGTTTTGTGACAGCCGGCCCTTTGTTTTAGCTTTTTGCGGGTACAGAATATCATATAATGATCACTTAACCCGCATGCTATAACCCCTTTACTGGAGATCCTGGACTTGTCAGAGGTCAGAATGAGATCAATGGTAGTTTGTGTTGTTTCACATACCCGGGTGGGTTGGGTGATTAGCTGGCTGAAGCCGTGCAGATCACAAATCCTACTGAAGGACTTGAAGACGGACGTGTCTTTACGTTGCATATCCGTGTTCCAGTCTCCAATAATAATTGTCTCTACATCCCCCACATCAGCCATCCACCCATCTAATGTATCATAAAAGTCACTCTGTTCCGGTGGTCTATAGATTGTCCCGACTATTACAGATTTAGCATTGTCAAAAATAATTTCAACCCACACAGATTCAATATTTTCATGATGCAGGTCAGTACGGTTTTTGAAATTGGTGTCTTTATGTATGTACATGCAGACACCACCTCCATTCACGTTCCTGTCCCTTCTCACTACAAGATAATCTTCAATTTCAATCTCTGAATCTGTAATGGAATTGTCCAATTTGGTCTCAGAAAAGCATAATATGCTTGCCTTACCGTTCATGAATAGCTGCCTGAGTTCAGCCAGTTTGTGTCTCAGGCTGTTAGTGTTCAGATGAAAAATATGTAGTCCATTTTTGTTGCTTAAATGCACAATGTCGTCAGCTTGCAGATATTTGTCTTTGTCCGTTACAGCAACCGGCTTGTCGTGGTGGGGTGGTGTGGGGTGGGTGGTGGTGGGGGGGGGGGAGGGAGGCTCCTTTGTAGCTTTAGCCGTTGATATGCTAGCAGGGTGGCTAACAACATGGCTAACAACATGGCGGATATTTGTTCCCTCGGATCTCGGTTCTCTTCCTCTCGTCACTGCCTCATGCGTGTCTGTCTGCCGAGGCGTCCCCGGGGGAATCTCGAAGTCTCCGTTTATTCCTTGGTCTCCGCTGTCTCCACGGTCTCTGTTGTCGTCGCGTAGTTGTTGTTGCAGCGGAAGAGATGCTAGTTCTGATGCTAATTGAGATGCTAGCTCATCGAGCCTGCAGGACTGGCTTCTTGTCTGCACCTGGCCCGGATTCAGATGGATGTCTCCCGCTAACAATAAGACCAAGACGATCATACTTCTTCGGTCTAGTTTGCCTGACGGGGGTAAGTACTTTCGCGTCGGGTTTGCAGTTAATAATGCATGAATGCTTGCACTTCCAAAAGCGAGGTGTTTCCTTTCCCAGCCGTTGAGAAGGTAAAAGTCATTGTGGTTCATTTTATCCCCGCTTTCATTACTCTCCTTCTCTAAGTGATGTTGCCTCATTGATGAGTTGAGGTAGGAGTCCATAATCCATATTGTCAGGAGGATGAAATATGTAAAAAATCGTGAGGAATAACCGCCAAAGCGGGAGCTCTCGAAAATGCGACCACTCATAGTGAAACCGGATGTTGAGTGCCAAGATGGCAACTGATTTTCCAACCTTTGACCTGAAGAACAAAGGGATTTGAAAACACCTCGTGGCTCTCAGAGCGGAGTTGAAATAATGAGGGTGATCTTTTAATTCTAGAAAATTCAACACAAAACAACACTGCAGTTTAAAATAACATTTCTATGTAATTTACAATTATAAATGGGCCTCATACCCTTACGTCACAGCCCTCAACCTGTGTACGTAATGTTTTGACTTTAAGAGCCAGTATGGTTATCTCCTCTGTTTAAACACGCTATCATGGGACAAAGCAAGACGCTAATCAAACACAATCAGAAGAATATCGTCTATCTAACGCACAAATGTCGCATTTCTCGTCGTAAACCAGACGCAATGTCTGTTTGAAAACAGAAAAAACAACCACTGAAAGCTTTAAACTTTTCAGGCCTTTTCCTCAAATAGGACTTTTTTTAATAAGAAAGCCACTTGCTGTAATTAAAACACTCACTTAACTGTGTTCTTGTCTCAAACAGTCCCCACTGTTTAATGGCCTAAAACCATTCACGTTAAATTAAAACATAACAAGAAACACTTTGAAATGATTTTCCCCATCACACAAAGGACTTTTAAAAAGAAAAACAGCCACACACTGTCCTCAACACAAACACTCACTCCGTAATGTTCTCAGCTTCCACTGTGATTGTGTTCTTTGTCTCAAGCAATCCCGACTGCTAAATTGCCTCAAACCATTCACGTTAACTTAAAACGTAACAAAAAACACTTCTTGGAGCAATTAGCCTTCTGCCGACATGTAATAACAGACAAACGAATAGCATGCAGGGTTAAATGTAAGAAAAAGAAGAAATTTGAATTCACCCTGCTTGTGAAAATGCAACGCCACGTGTTATGGAATTCTTATTGTTATAAATTTGGTTGTTTTAACATTAATTTCCCAGCTATTTTCAGGAACCGGAAGCAGCCGTCCAACACACAGTCCTAAGATTGTTCTGCATAAACTATTGAAGAATTTTGACGTAACAGGCTTCTTCTTTACCGTAGTTTGAGCTCTCTGTGTGTCGAACGGGTTTGCCAGCGGCTCCGGACAACAGCCGCGTGTATACTCTCTCCCGGTGCAACGAGAATCACGTCAGGGGTCATTCCAATTGTTAACTGTGTTCTTATTCTCAGCGTCAAGGAAAGAGAAGCTTAAAAAGGAGACTAAATGGAGTCTCTGGAGGTTCAAAATTGGTACTTTAATTAATAAAAAAGGCGCGGTAAAGTCACAAACAGGATTGTTCATTCAGGAGAGAAAGTCTGCAGCTTTCTCTCCCAGGGGGTGGCCGTGCAGAAGAGACCTTACAAGCATTCGTCCTTCCCGCTTGCTCGCTGTTCGCTCCTCCTCTCCGTGAGCTGTAGTGACGTAAGGGACTTCCCCCTCTCGTTCGTCTGTGTCCGATATCGCGTTAAACAGAGGATTTCGACATTTTACATTCATTGCTTACTTCCACATGCCTTTTCTCCTCCTTATCTCTTTCATAACTTTATATGTAATACATGTTAACGGCGTCAATTGCCACTTTAATGATACTAATGGGCGGTAGTCCCGGATGTCGTCATGAAGGATTTTCAGAATAAAAGCTTAACTGGTTGTGCACAAGAACTTCTGGTTTTTCAGTATAAAACAGCATTTAAACTGACGGTATGTTTAAGGTACATTATGCTATCAAAACATTGATTTTAATTTCTAACAATATCCCCTGTCATTCTTTTTTACTGTGTCCGTCTCCCAACATTGTATAAATCTATCAGAAACTGAGACCCAAAGTACTTGAAACCTTTGGGAACAGAACACAACTTTCCATGGCAGTGAAGGAACCATTAGAGGGGCAATCTGAGTGCTAGTAAGCAGTCTCCTTGTGTGGTGAATCATCAGCCCCCCCCCCTCAGAGGAATACGCCAACAAGGGCAGCTGATAGGGAGGGGGAGATGCGGCTTTCCCTTCACTCTTAATGTGATTTAATTGCAGCAAATAATGCGATCAATCGTTATAACAATCGTTGCCCAGCACTGTTAAAACATTTCTGAATTGCTTAAGTTCTACATTACATCTAGCCAATACCAAAATGATGGATATTTTATTTATTTACAAATCCTGGCACATGGAATATCAGAAATAAAACCTTATACAACTACAGCAGCTATAAAGCTATATTGAAAAAGCTGATAAGCATTTTCTGAGACAGCTGATTTAAGTTTTAAAATAGATCAACATCAGCTGATTCCAATCTCAATATGAGACGCCCGCTCTCCAATGCTCCGTTGAACATGTTCATTGGGCTTTACAGCCATATCAGCTACCTCTGTTGAGTCCATATATCAGTGTTTGTGGATTTGGAAAGGTGACATTTTGATGATCTTTAGGAGGCGGCGGGGGGGGGGGGCTGAGAGGAGCAGGGGAATGCACCCTGAGAAGAAGACGCCCTGGGAGGCATTTATAAAGATGTCGACTACAAAAGGCCTCTTGTCAGTGTAACTCAGATGTTCTGTATACACACACACACACACACACACACACACACACACACACACACACACACACACACACCACACACACACACACACACACACACACACACACACACACACACACACACACACACACACACACACACACACACACACACACACACACACACACACACACACACAGCTCTGTCAACAGTATGGAAACACTTCACACAGATGATCAATGCGGTTCGAGGGCCATCAATAAGAGGGTGCTGTGTTCAGATGAGATTTGGAGTGTCAGGTGTTTAATTAGCCAGACTGCTCCGTCAGACGCAGAGCAGCCAATGGAAGGCTCCCTGTTAGTGATGAGTGCTCTGCTCTATGATACAATATGATCATAGGCATTACACAACAATAACCAAGACCTGTGCAGGTGGCATCTGTCATTAGTGCACACATGTTAATACACGTTTAAGTATTTCAGATAATGAAATATCATCACTGGGATTCAGCATACAGTAGCGGGCAAGAATATGTGTGTGTGCTGGTGGAAGGAGGTGTATGTGTGTGTAGCAGGGTATCTGGGTCATTGAGTGTAAGTGAGAAGGTTATATATATATATATATTAGGGCTGTCAAACGATTACAATTTTTAATCAGATTAATCACAGCTTAAAAATTAATTAATCATGATTAATCACCATTCGAACTATGTCCAAAATATGCCATTTATTTATGTATATTGTTGTGGGAATGGAAAGATAAATGAAAGAAGGCGGATATATCCATTTAACATACAGTATCTATGTTTATTATAACATTTTTCTGTGTGTCAAAATGAAAGACAGCCCACACACCTGGCTATCAATCATCAAACCATAGGGTCTTAATTCATTACGTATTGATTTCTATCAACGGGGGATTACTTCAGGAAAGTCGACGACGGGGGGGGGGGGGGGGCTAGTGGAGTACTTCGTGACCACAGAGTGTGAACGTTGTGATCAGCTGTTTTAGCGCAGTTCTCCAGTGAAGGGGGGGGGGGGAGTCTCCCTCCGCAGCCGGTTGGCGTAGTTTTGGCACAATGCCGTTGAACAGACCGACGTTAACAGCAGCCCTGTCTGTGCACACGGAGACCGACTCTGTCGTCCGGTGATCTAACCGCCTTCTGGAAAAGCTTCACAAGTACGTTGGTACGCAAATGCGCTTTGTGACACAAGTGACGGTACGCATTTCAGATTACGCACATAACCTGCATACCAGTTATGTGCACCCCTGTACTACAGCAAAAGTATTCTCCGTCGGGACTTCCTGCAACAACACCACGCCGTTATCTTGATTCTGATTGGCCAGAAGACATTATCAAAGATGTTCTATTGAGAAGACGATCACTACGTGACAAAAGTTTTCAAAACCGTGGCTACTGAAATCAATCTTACTAACTGCTGTCTGTGCAATTTACTCTGCGCGAGTTGGCAGACTTTATTTTGCTTCCTTTAACATCATTTTTCATGGTGGGGCTAAGCCATTTCTTGGTATGGGTGTAGCCTACCCCAGCCATACCCTGGCGCTGACACTGGTGGCACGTATGGGGCGGGCCATTCTGCACATGCATTAAATGCGTTAAATATTTAATTAATTCAAAAAATTAATTACCGCCGTTAACGCGATAATTTTGACAGCACTAATTTAAATGTTTAGTAACATAAGTGTATGGTGTTGGTGTATGGTGTTTTAAGGCGGGATGATGAAAGGATAAACAATGAAAATAAACCTGATCCAATGGCCTTCTGAAACGAAACAGATATGGTGGCTTCCAAGCCCCCAGGATGTGCAGCAGGGGTTGAAGCAAATGTTTGTAGTGGCCAAACGGTGGTAATACACCTATTGTGTATTATAAGTGTTAGCCCCTGATGCCACGGAAAGGATCATTTCCCATTGACTCACACAGACGTCTCATACACTGTTACCAGTTAGCTTACCATGGGTGGGGAACCTTTTTCCTCTCAAGGGCCATTTCAATTTTTTCAATATCCTCCGAGGGCCGTACAAATGATTGACCTCTGCTTAGAAATACTAAAATCACAGCCCATTCATTTCGCCTTTCTTTCATGCTGTGCAAAGAAAAAGCAACCTCTTAATCCAGATATCTTACCATGACTCGCGCATGCATGCACGTGCACGGTGTGGCATGACCACCAAAACAGAAAGATATGGACACAAGATGTGTGTAAATATATTTAGTTTCCTATTCATGTGGACATTATTTAAGTGGGGGGGGGGGGGAAATGTTGAAGTTAAAAGCATCAATCTGGTGCACTTTGAGAGCAACATTAAGAGATCTATGGATACATCTATCAACACTGTTAGTGTATTCTAGAACCCCGAAGGCAGGAGAGACTGAAAAGAGTCAAGGGAAGCTTATAAAAGTTAACAGCATTTAATTACACAAAAGATGCGGTGGTGTACAAATGAAATGTGCGAGTGGAGGCGCTCTCCTCATCCGACCGGTCAGTCCAGGTCAGCAGGTGGAAGAGGTCAATTCTTGGCTTGCTCTTCTTGTTGTCATCTGAGGTCTTCTCCTATTGGCCGGCGGCGGGTCCAATGTAATTCCTGCCTTTTTCTGTTGTTAAATTATATCATTCTGGTGTCTGTGGTTATTTGAACATTCCCTAATAAACGTTATTCAGCGGTAATAAATGAGTGCTAAACCCAGTGTGCAACATCACATGTAATTTCACCTTTAATTCACGGTTTGAAAATGCAGCATTTCGCCACATGCTAATGCTAACCGGAAGTGAATAATTTTCAGAATAAAAGTATTAAGTTAATAGTTAGTGAACTTCCGGTTTTTCAGAATAAAACTGATTTAAATTAAATAGTGTATTTAATTCAAATTACGCCATACCAACATTGATTTTAATTTCTAACAACACCCAGATGAAACAGAACTGTAAACAGATTTATTTTTCTTTATGGATATTTTACAAATCACTCCCCTTTCAAACTGTATTCTTGTTTATTAATAACAACTTTTTTTTACTGTCATAGTATTTTATAGCTGTTTACTTTATCTTATTTTTAACTATAATGATCATATAAAGATGTGCCTTTACCTTACTGGTTGGAGAAAAAGCTAACCAGATGCTAATAACAACAACGTTATTGACTGTATGACAGATGAACAGATCGCCACTGGGCTTTCAACTAAAGACACAGCCACGCACAAACTGCGGCATGTGTACGGCTCCTTATGGGTACTGCAATTTTTGGAAGTGCCGGAGCCGCGTTCTGGTGCTCTCCGTCAGAACTGCACCCATGTGAGACGAGACATATACCACGTGATGACACATTAGGCTCGTGTTGTGTTCAGGAACCCTGACCTTGGCCAGGAAAAACAGGCACTCGCTTGTTTAATTTTTTTGTGGTCTAGATTTCTTACATTTTTTTCTTTTTTGCGTGAGTAATTTATAAAAATTACCTCAAGGGCCGTACCAAATGGTCTTGCGGGCCGTATATGGCCCGTGGGCCGGAGGTTCCCCACCCCTGGTTTAAACAGTGATACTTCCACTTCTGTGTTGTTTTTGGGCCAAAAAATACTTTTCCCATTTATACTGTTGCTCCTGAGTCAACACACACACACACACACACACACACACACACACACACACACACACACACACACACACACACACACACACACACACACACACACACACACACACACACACACACACACACACACACACACACACACACACACACACACACACACACACACACACACACACACACACACACACACACACACACACACACACAC